CTCAAATTCTTTGTGCCCTTGCTTACCGCAGAAGTTACACGTTCCCAAGAACCTTTGAGAAGTCTGACCGTTCTAACCATTCTTGTTCTTGAACTTTTGGGTGTTCTTTGGTGGCAGCTTCCCTATGCCTTTGTCCAAGCGTTCTTTGTTCTGCCACTTGCCTTACTTTTTGTTTTGGTGTTCAACCATGTTCATGTTGTGTACACCAACACCAATCTGTTCCCAATTTGTCGATTCCACACGAAGTCTGACAATCAAGTCCTCAAGGCTCATCTTCTTTTCCTTAAGTTTGAAGTAATTCTTGAAGTCTGTCCATCCTGGAGGAAGCTTCTCAATGATGCAGCATCCCTGATACACCGCCCCCGACCTGCTCCATCAGTGGTGTCGAATCCACCATCTTGTACTGCTCAAATTTCGCAAAAGTGAATTTCTGTGAGTTTGAATCCTCAATGTTTATTGTATAGGTAATCCTAAAGTTCCTTAGAAGTTTCTGTGTTTCGTACACACCAAACAAAGGATCATAAAGGTTATTTTGAATGTAGCCTTTGCACAAATGTCGCCATGCTCCCAAGCTTGAACACTCGCAAGTACACGCAGATCAGTATTATCTTATAGGAGAACAGGTTTCACTTTGCAGGTCTATTTTTTCAAATTCAACGTTGTCAGATAGAAAAACATCTTCCTCTATTAGACGCTGTTCCATCAAACTTTTTAGGAGTAGCGAAATGGTTCGCTGCTGGAACTTTGACTGTCTCGACGGTGTTCCCAGCCTCTTTGGATTTGTTGTCCATCTCAGTTGTCATTCTGCAAAACAGCCAATCAATAACAATTTAATTAGAAGATAATTAAATCACAAGAGTTTCAATTAGTAAAATCCAAATTAAACTTTTTAATTTTGATACAGAATTAAATCATAATAAAAACTTCTATCAAAACAATTAGAACTCCTAAAAGCGCGTTACAAATCAAACCTCCGCAGAGCGTTCGTCAAAACGTTTAAGAAACGCGTTTGATAATCATTTTAGGGAACCTCCGCAGGGCGTTCATCTAATCAATTAATGATTGCCGACACATTTATTAAATGTTCACAAACCCTAAAAACCGTTTCAAAATCAGTTGAAAAGCGTTTAATATAATCGCCTCTACAAAACTTTTTGCTAGACTAGCATTTAAGAACGTTTTTATCGTCTCACAAGAGGTACAGAAATTGTTTGAAAAGGTTTATTTACTCGCGATTAAAATATGTTTGCTGTTTATAAAACAGAAACCAGATTTCTTTGAGTTAAGATTGTAAGACCAAAAATTCGCACTTAAGACAGGATTACGATTTCAGTACGAATATATTAATAAACGTAAGGAAAGACAAGTTTTAAAAACCGCAGTAAAAGAGACGAATAAAAACCAAATAGTGATGGCAATATAACTCTCTTTCTTTAACTCAAAGAATCTCCCTTAGTTCGGCGGAATAATCAATAAATTCATTAGTCCCAGGATACAACCATTGAATCATATATCGCGAACACTCGATAACGGATCTATCAAACTAATACTACGATACTCTCGAATAAAAAAACTCACTCTTAGTGGTAGAAAATTGAAGGAACCACTGCTTTTGTATTTTCTGTGTGATATGATTTTTTTGGATTAAAATAGATATTTTTCTCTTAGGAAAGGCACTCCAATATTTAGGAGAAGAACATAGAAGAAATTATTTCCAACTACTAATGTGGGACTTTTTATATGTCTTTCTTTTCCTTTTTATATTCACAAGGCTTTTCTTTGGGAAAGCGGCTTATTTGTGTCTCAACTGCATGAAATGGTACCAATTAGTACTTGTAAAATCTTGTTGTGCCCACACATACCTGAACTATTAATAATTTGAATATTCGTACCCAAACTCAATTTTCTTTTGGCCGAAACATACATTGACTTTTTTTAACTGTTAGTTAATCCCATCAAATTGTTAATGGAGCTGAGTTACCTACCATATTGGAATCTCCGTTGGACATATATATGTAATACAACATCGTTTTGTAAAAAAGAAAATTCTAGGATTCGAAGCCTAATTCAAATCATGCACCTTCAAAAAAAAACAAAGACGCTTCTTGGGGGAGAGGTGCATGGTTTGAATTCTGGAATTTACAAAACAAAAAAAAAATATTTTTGTTTTACACAAAAAAATATCCATCATATACACGTTCCATCTGGGATTCCAGCGTGGCAGATGACTTAGCTCCGTTAACAATTTGACGGGGTTGACTAACGGTTAAAAATTCAATACATGTTTTGGCCAAGAAAAATGAGTTCGGGTACGATTACAAATTATTAATAGTACAGGTATGTTTGAGCATATCAAAATTATACAGGCACTAATCAGTCCATTTCATACAGTTGAGGAACGAATAAGCTGCTTTTTCCCGGTATTTCCTTCTTACAAGTTTTTCTCTTTATATAGAGCTTTTTTTTTTTTACAAGGCTTTCCTTTTTTACAAGGCTCTTCTACTTAGTCCAAATGCTTCATTTTGATTCACACATACACATATTTATAAAGCCCACAAGGTCTTATAAATTTTATTCAAACAAAACTAACCCAAAAAAAAACCCCTTCCATAAGTAAAGCACCGCAGGATAAAAGGATGATGGTCCTGTCGCAGTGCCGCATCGCTGGAGAGAATCAGAGTGAAACCGATACAAGAAAAGCACGAAGAGAAGTTTTTTGGGAAAGATGTTGATAACGCTTTGATGCCATGCGCTCGATTATATATATACATTTTTAAAAAGAAATTGCTTAAATATCACATATTGATAGATACAATGTCATGAGATAAAACATAGTTTAGTTGCATAGCAAACCCATATGCTGCTACTTTTCGACAGAAAAAATAACAAAAAAAACGACTAAAAAGGCAGCTTTATAAAGAGTAGATGATGGGATACCACTTTTTCCGTCATAAAACAAACTCTTTAGTAATGGAAGGAAAACCATAACCACAAAAGTACATCCAGATGCCTCTGCCAGAGCCGAACCATCTCTTTCGTCACTGCGACTCCATAGTTGTAGGCCCACTAAATAATCAGCTAAAGCGGCTAGATTCACCAACAAAATAAATGTGCCAGGCAGATAAAGCAAGCCGTCGATTTCAGAGCTTTGACCATCATCTTCTTGTTGAGATTGTCTGTCTTTAGACCCTAACTTAATATCAGGCATAGTCTTTTTGGTGATTCTGAACACAGTTTTCGAGATTCCGAGAAGCTTAAGTGTGATATCAAATATGCTGAATAACGAACCGCAAATGTTTGCACACCATAGTTGTACGGAAAAATCAGGGCTCGTAAATCCCCGTAGAGTGTAAAAACATGGCATCCCCAAAAGTGTGAAATTTATACCTAAACGAAGTCCCTAAAGCAGCACTCACAGATATTAAAAGATTAGTATTTTACTAATTGATGAAAATAAATAAATCTATGTTGATGGCATATAATATTAATCAAGAAAAGAAAGAGAGAGTCACCTTTGGATATAAGGGAGAGTTGTTGAGTAGGCAATAAGCAGGCAAGAGACAATAAAAGAGCACAGGTAGGAAACCTAGACCCATCATGGAAATGGAAAGATAAGCCAACCGCTGTCGGAATTCTATTTTTTGGTGAAACATTCCGATTAATGGACTTTGTTTGTTGAAGATAATCTCCAACCCGCCCGTGAAACATCGCCGCTTGCGGAGCATAGCCTCTAATCCTACCGGTGGCGTACAGCCTATAAACGCCGGTGGATCCGAAGATATGAGTGAGCTAGTCCATCCTCTCGAATGGATTTCAATACTCGTGTTCACATCCTCTAAAACTGAATCGTATAACCAACCAATCTGCATGATTTATATTTTAAAAATGATCGTTATTGACCAAACGCCTAAAATATCTTGGAGTTATAAGAAAATATGCATATCATATTATTATGTAAAATAAAGTTGCTTGATTTTAGATTGGGATAGTTAAAGTTTGAAGAGAATTACGGTTTTTCCCCAGCTGGTTTGGTATTCATAATGCAAATTTCCAACTTCTCTAGCCGCTTCTAAGGAGTATGTAAGTGAATGCTGACGATTTAATTTTCCTCGTAATGCGCTGACCACTGATTTCGTCATCTCTATAGAATGTCCAAATACTTTTGATAAATTGTCGTCCGTCAAAATCTTCCCTTTAAGAAATATCAACATGATCATTTTTCAAAAACGTGAAAATGTAAATAAGTAATATAGAGAGGTTTTTAAAAATAGTATGAAGTAACCAACTAACTATAAAAAATGTAGAAATGGGAAAATTGTAAAAATAATACAAATAATATGCATTGGTTTGTTGGAAAAACAGAGATGGTGCACCTATACTATTTTTACAATTAGTTAGTCACTTGGTACATATGTTTTAATGTTGTATATAAGTAATTTAGACTTCTCTTTTCACACAATAAATTTCTGCAATTTCTGTAATTTTAAACTTAATATGTTAGGTTTAAAACTAAATTTGTGCTATTTAATATTATTTTTCATTTGTATATGTTTTGCAAAAATGCACACATCTATATCTCATAGAGATGGCGTCTGATGTTAAAATTTTGTGCCTTTAGAGAAAACCATCTTGGGAAGGTGATAGTATTGAGATGATACTGATGGATAAGAAAATAAATATTCAGAATTTCGATTTTACTCATAATCTATTTTATGTGATAATATATCAAAACCCTTACATATTCTGCCATTTACCAGTCTATTAGTTACTTTTAATTGTTTAAAAAACAGTTCTAATTAGATTTTATGTAATTTTTAATACTTTAAGGGTTTGAAGATATTGGCCCATATTCAACCAAGAGACGTGTGTTATCATGAATATAATGTTTGGCAAGGTGATTGGAAGTTATTTTTTTGGCTTCAAAGTACATATAAATGAAGATACTGCGCCTTACATGCAATAAATACTATATTCTTCTAATGAACTCGACCATTATCAGAAATATTCAGTCCAAGACGGATCGTTTCTTTCTGGATTCCACAAATTTTGAAGATATCCTAAGAAGAAAGACAGACCCGGCTGTATTAACTGGTAATTATCTATTTTATTTCAAACAAATTCTTATTTATTCTACTTAATAAAGCATCTAATTAACATAAATATTTTCCATATATATATATATATATTCATATATAGAATTAGTTGGAATTGTCTCTGCCGTATGAGATCTCTTATTTGAACAAGGACAGTATACAGTAAGTTATGAAATTGAGGACGCAGAGTAAGTTTTACTTTATGTTCTTATGAAATTACATATGTATACTTGTTAGAGTATTTACTTTAGCTTAACAAGTACTTATTGTTCATATTGTAGAGCACTAGAGCGTATATTATGTCTTGTGTTGCATTTGGTGATATTGCTCAAGATTTCAATGATCAGTGGATGCATAAAAGAACTTATCATTCTGTATGTGTTCTTAGGTTTTAGAAAATTAAGGAATGAAGAAGTAAGTATAAATTAAGTATTATAATCACATATATTCCGTAGTATTTATATACAATATGTATTTAATTGTTACTGCTAAGAAATATTTTATTATATGTAGATCAAGATGATAGGCGGATTTATGTTTATTCTATTAGAAGTTGTTCGCAATATTTAATAGATCCACTAATACAAGAAGCCATCGAATTCAGAAACAAGTAAATTATTATTGATTTAAATATGTGACGATGTTTTACGGCTAATTACAATACTAAGGTGTATTCACATTAATATTTTAGGTTTCTACCAGAGATGAATTTTGGATCAACTTTTGATAAGTAAGAACATCTTCCAATGAATCATATTTAATTTGATCTATAGATATTTAGGGTTTTGTAATATTTATTTTTATGCTCTGTATTTGTATGAATTGATTTAAAACTAAAAGTTTTACATTTATTGAGTAATCTGTCTTTTTATTCATCAATTTTTATGCATGTTTGAATTGGATGTGTTTAGTATATATATATTTTTTGTCGTTAGCCTAAATACCTGGTATAGTTTAATTAGTATACAGTTTATTATAATTTATTATAATTAATATACAGTTTACTGATACAAGTTTTATTATTGTGTTACATACTTCATTTTTGGACCATCGAATCCATCAGAATTCTATAAGAGTTTATTATAAATTTATGAGATTATGGGCCTTATATGTTAGTTATACTACCCATTAATGTCAAAGCCTCAAAAATTAGTATACATTCTTCTACTTATCATTTTATCATGTTTTAATGTACTTCAAAATTGTATTGAGTTTTTAAAATATGAGTGGTTTTTTTATATTATATGTGTTTTAATAGTTATAACTTTATAATATATATTTCTATTATGCTATCTCAATTGCTTTCTTTACATTTCAAACCAATCGATGTCCGAAAATTCACATGTCCTTTATATGAGTGACCAAAGTCATCAAACAAACAATTATTCAACATCCTTCGACTATAGAAACAATTTTTTCAAACCCCAAATATACATTTTCTTTAATATTACCCCTGGCCACCCATGGCTGGGTTAGAATCTAGTAAATATTACAAATGCTTCCCATCTACTTGCCTTAAACGCTTGACGAAATAAAGATGGAAAGTACTATACTGAGTAATGCATTTGATAATACATTATGATTTCCTAACCTTTCGAGTTGTAATCCCAACATTAATCTTTTTTTGTTGTTGTTGTTTAGTATATGCACGAAACTTTTCTTTAAATAATATTTTTGAAGAAACATATGAAAGTGTGATATAACAACAATCTCTTATGATTATGCACAGTACTTACTTGTGGCAACTGAAGAAAGACTTCCATCATCTTCTAAATCATCCGGTGTTAAGCCGTACATAATTTTTCTAGTGTGAAAGCAACCCGACCCTGTGTATATCGCTCCTTGAATCCCCGCGACGCCCCGTTCCATATACTAATTTCCAAAATTTAAAGTTTTATTAAAAAAGCAAAAATTAAGTACATGTACAGGTTTTTTAACATCAAAATAATCCAAACTATATATAAAAAGTAAGGAAGAAATCGCACTGAAGGAAAGATGTTGAATTCATCAGCCTTAGAGTCCCTGAAATTTGCAGAGTGTTGAACAAAAGCAATATGGTTTGGATTCATCGATTCTTGCAAAAATATACACATTGCTTGTCGCACGACATCTGCTTCATTTGCATACATGTCACAGTCTACATTCAGCATGTATGGTGCATTTGTCATCAACCCCGTCACTCTTACCTGGTCAAATGATCATATGTCATTGTAGATCTCAAATTTTGTTGTTATAAGACTGATAAAATTGTAATGGATCATTCATTGGCCAATGATAATAAGTTTAAATTACATTATGGGATCTCAGCTTCCAAAGAAATGTCACCATTATTATTTATTTTTAATATCTATGGTTTTATCAACAAATAGATCTTTCAACAATCAAAGCGGGATTTCACCTTACTAAATATAAAAAGTGATTGCAGGCATATCACATGGAATATTATGTCTAGAGGTATACTTCATATATTCTTACTATTTTACCTTCCATTACATAGACATATATATATATACATGTGGTTAATTCCTATTTTAATAATTTTATAACGAAATGATGACAATTAATCAACATGGTTCTAGGAATTATGGATTTTGAATTTAAAATCAATTTTCATTGTGAGATATATAGGCCTTTCCGAGATGAGGACGAGACTAACCCATCATCTCTGGAATACTACTACGAGACCTTCCACTTGCAACGTGGGAAGCCATTCATCGGGTCAATAAGGAGCTATGATATCATTTTAGGATTCAAGAGTTTCTGACTCAAAATCATTTAACAATAAGTAATCTGGCGGCTAATGAACCTTATATATATATTACTATAGAAGTGTCTGGGATTATTTAATACCAGATTAACACAAAACAGTTACTTTAAAACTATGAATAAAAAATGAGCGATGTGTAGAAAAATCGTTAACCAGAAAGTTCAAGGCTCCAGCTTTGTAATGATGAACATAGTTTGGTCTTTTCTCTCTTGAAATGTAAACTAAATGAGGGACCTCTTTCTCGTCTCCCACACCACCCTTATTCTCGAATATCACCTTCACATACACATGTACAAAGTGCAATATATAACTAAAATTAATATAACTGCTATAGGGAACCTGTTTGATAGTTTTTCTAATGTGAATGACATTAGTTTGATTAAAAATTACTTTGGTAAATGGTAATTACCTTAACAATAGTTGAATGATCATTTGGTTTTGTGTTTGAGAAAGCTTCAAAATCATCGTCTGCATCAAACCAATGGGAATCTCCGGTGGCATCTTCAACTATCTGGCTTATCTTCTCGTACTCCATCTTTAAATCAATTCAATTTACAATTTTAAGAAAGATTCACTAACATGAAAAGTCAAGAACATAGATTCAAAATATGTGGTTATTGGTTGGAGTCTTCGGAGTCTACTAGTTTAATAAGAAGATTTGGGATAAAAAATAGGTAAATAGTAAATAGGCAAAACAAATGAAGTAAATGGCAATAAAAAATAATCAATATTTCATTATTCTTATAGTACTCTTCACTTAACTGTTATGGAAACATGATGTTTCTCTGTAACGTGTTATTTTTTTATATAACATGTTACTGTACTATTAAAGTATGCAGCTTAAACACTATTGATTGTTGCCTCGAGTATTTCCAATGAAGTAAAACAATATATATGTCTGTAGTTTATTAGGTTGTGTTTATGTTGGTCAGAGCACAATAGTTTTATTTTTTGTTTGTCAAACAATTTCAAAGTGTAAAAAAAAAACTTGCATAGGAAACAGCCTTTCTTTATTTTGCTTTTAATCTTTTCTTCTGCAATTTTAGATATATTTTTCATTTTGGTTAATTTTGAGTTATGATTGATTAAACAAACTAACTACACTGCTGTGTCCTCTCTAAAAAGTATTAACATGATAGTTTTTTTTTTTGGGTGCAACAACATATTAGTTTAATACACATGGTATTTTTTTCTTGTTAACTTAGTCTAATCTGTTAACATAATTAAACACACAACGAAAATTTTCAAAAAGAAACAATTGAATTCGTTACCTTCGTCATTTCCCAGTCTTTAGTGAATTCAGGATCCTCTGATGAAACCACGGGGTTCAAGAAATATATAAACGGAGCTCTAACTCTAACGTTGTATTTCTTGCAGAAAGGAACCCAAATCTTGGCGAACTTGCAAGCTTCCTTGAGAGAGAAGTAAGTGAGAGGTGAGCATCCATCATCCGACACATAACAAGCTAGTTTGTTCGCCGGATAGTTCACAGCTAACAGTGAGAGCACAGTGTTCACAACAATAAGCGGCGGCTCCCTGACCGGATCTGCCGTGGGTACAAACATATCCACCGAAGGAAGGTCATGAACCCTGAAATCAATTATTACAGGCATTTTATAAAAAGATTATTCTCGAAATGTTTACTACTCAATTTAAACATAAAAATGAATAGTATTTCCTGAGAGGTCAGCTTACAGCTAGGTAGCAGCTTACGATGACTTACAAATTTGTAAAGAATATATGCTTTTAACTAAAAGCTAGGTAGAAGATTTTACATAAAATTGCCTCCACATGAAAAAGGTACCTTTCATCAAGTCTATCTGGATAAGGTTTATATTCAGCAGGACTCCATGTTATGTTGGTAATAAGCAGCCACGTGAAAAAGAAACAAAATTCATAGAGGAAAGCCATGACCCAAGCGATGTCGTTTTGGTTCATATATAGAATCCGGTACAAGAGAAGAGAAAAGAGAAAGCCGAGAACAGTGAGATTCAAAGCTCTTCGAACATAGCTTTTGTATGAAATCCTTTCGTAAAGAGGAAGGGGGGAAAAGCTTGAATCCGCCATCGAAAGAGTTTTCTTGCGGTTTTTTTAGTATATGTTTTGAAAGGGTTAGATAAAAAAATTGTGTGTGACGTCTATATATAATGCGTATTAGTGCTAAAAAAAAACAATATGACATTTTATCCCTATTCTAAAAATTGGCCACTAGTCGTGGATTTAAACCGTGGTAAAATATAAACCATGGCAATTCATGGATAAACAGATCAATAAATATAGAATATCCAATTAATTCGCACTAAGACCGATTAATCTCCGCCTAAAACGATTAATTTGATGAGTTCAACTTATATTCAATACGAGAGAATCCGCACATATTCGCGGGTCTATTTTAATTTATATTTTAAATAATTTTGTATTAAATTTTATGTTTACTATTAATATTTTTTTAACATATTTATATTTTTTTATTTCTTCTTAATGATATATTATTTGTAATTTTTTCTATACTAATTCTGTCTAATAGTCTAATTTTTCTCCCAAGATAATAAGCAACTAAAAAATCTAGTATTTTAGTTTTTCTATAAAAACAGAATAATTCACTTAAAAATATATGTTGAATATCAGAGAGAAATATTTATTTGTTCTTCGATCCTTATATTCTTCTTATTCTTGTAAATCTTACTAATTTAATACTTGTTAATATACTTAATTTATCATTTTGAATTTTTTTGGTTATATATATATATATATTATTGATTCCATCTTTTTATATTTTGAAAAAAAAATATATGACATTTCAATACCTTTATTTTTATTATTATTTTTAATAACTTTTATCTTTTTAATTATTTATTAAATATTCTTTGTGTTTTATAATTTTATTAGTTGAAGTTTTATATAAAATTATTTGAAACTTTTTAACTTATTCAGTCTCATAATTTTTGTCAGTTGCATTAAAATTTAATTATATTTTTAATTTAAAAACGAAATTTAAATCATTTGAAAAAAATAAAAATGTGCATTTAAAAAGGTTTGTATTATATAATATTTATAAGTTCTTATTTATTTAAATTATATTTAAATTTCATTTTAATATAAATATATATTTAATGTTTATTTATGTTTTTTTAATGTGTTTTAATATGTTTACTTTAAATTTGATTAATTATTTATTTTATTCATATTTAAAGGGGATGAGTGGAACTCTATTCAATGCTGACATGTCACTTAACTGGAGAGAGTTGACCAAGTTTTATATATAAAATATTTATCAGTGAAAATTATAATATATTATACTTAATATATGTTATGTGTTTTATCTACTCTTGACCATAATATTATAATTATAAATTATAATAGATTAGTATGTTAAAAAGATATTAAAAATATCAAAAATTAATCATTGCTTAATCTTGGATTTTTTTACTAGGTGGTAGGCCAATTTGGATTTAACCCATGCATCAGTAAAAGATGTCCCTCTTATTTTAGCCAAAGAATATCTGTCATGTAATATTATTTTTAAATAAAAATAAAAAAAAAATTAAAAGATTAAATAGTTAATCAACTCTTTTATAATATATATATATATATATATAATGTATATAGTACGTAACCCTTTTAATGACGTAACTTAATAGGTTTACTTTGCCTTTGACGACAATAAATAGGTTACTTCAACTCTATTTGAGGTCCTTAGAATGCACTGAGCTGGCTCAATCAATTCAAAGTCAACTCAAACATGTCACATGCTCATGTTAAGGAACTATATGTTTTCTTAAATCGAAGGAACCTTTTTCGAAGGTAATCAAGACAAGGATACCAGAAAATTGAGTTACTAGATGAAAGAAATCCCAGAGGTAACCGTGCTGAACTGATTACAGTCTCAAAAACAGAGCACTGTAACAAAAGCAATCCTACAGAGTACTGTAACAAAAGCAACCCTCAATAACAAACAAGAAAGAGGGTTGATAAAAGATAATTTCTAGATCAACTAACCAAGTGTACTCATATCATTGTAGGGATCAATCTAAATGCGTTAAGATCAGACACTAAGAATGCATGAAACTCTTTAATAGAAAATTCAAAGAAATATTTGTCTAACACCCCAAATGAAATTTAAAGAAAATCTTAACTGAACACGCAAACCATGAACTTAAGCAACTACTAGCAACTTAAACATTCAAATCAAAGGAATATTAATGACAAGACAAGAAAGCAAATTGGCAACTTAACTGAGGTCTAATAGCAATAACAAATATGGATCCTTACATGGGGTTATTGACTTGTGTGATTTTTAAGCTAAGCTATGATGGTCAAGCACTTAAACAAATGTTAATCCTTAGACCTTATTCACTAATTAGGATTATTTCATTTCCATGACATTAATTAATAACTTTGTTAATTACCTATTCAAGAACAAATTTTTATTTGTAACTAAACACTCAACAACCATTAAGAACAAGATTAAACAATCTAAATACATCTTAGACATCCATATCCATGGGCTAAGAAAGTGAATTCTCTAAAAAATTCATTTGAGAATTTCATCAAACATCTTCAGTGCATGAAATTTTGTATGATCTAGATCAACTTGATTTAAGTTAATCTAGCATTAAGAACACTAAACAGAGAAGGGAAGCATATATCTAAACCCTAAACATCATAGATCAACCCTCAGATCACCTACCCCATCCCCTGGATCACAAAAGGTCTACAACCTAATTATGAAAACCCCAACAAATCCCATAGAAGAAGTGTTAAGGATCATGATTAAAGAAGATAGATTAATTAAATAAAAAGATATTGAATTAACTCAAAATATCTCTAACAATCTCTCAAATTTTCTGAACAGAGAAAAGTGTTCAACGAAATGATAAAAGATATACCTAGAAAATTAGGTTGTCTGATGCAGCTGCTTAATGTGGGCTGGCCATCTTGGCTCGGAGGTAATGAAATTGGACGTGGTCTGCTGATGCCAGGCTTAAGATGTGAAGTGCGGCTTGGGCTCAGAGGAGTTGGCATCGATCGTATAGCCAATGCCAGCCTCTGCTCTGACTTCTCCTTGCTCATTTCTCCTTCCTTGCACCTTTCTCTTCCTCGTGGCCAACTTCATTGCCTCAAACAAGCCTCATCTGGTCCATTTCCTTCCTCCAGTCTTCATTAGTTTTCATAGCATCCAAAGGTACCAAAAAAGACTCCAAGATGAAACAAAATACTCTAGGACCAACCTAAGACTCATTAACACCTATATTCACTAACACTGAGGGTCGATTCACGGCTTGAGTTTTAAATTTATAAACCCTAGCTATCTGTAAGTACACATCAGATGTAGTACTTAGGGTGTTGATCTTAGGGTGAGGTGTCTTTTCTACAGAAACTCCAGGCAGAGAATTAGTAAACGGGTTATAAGACTAATACAGTTTTTATAGGGTTTTTGTGTGTGAGAATTGTAAAGATGCAAAAAAAGGAAAAACAAATAAATAAAAATTGATGTAGGCAATTAAAAACGAATGTTGGGCCAACAAGATTATCTTAGGGGATGTTCGATTCATGCATGAATCAAAAGCTCTAAAAACTCGATTCTACCAAACTCTGGGAACTCGAAATCATGGATGTATGACTAGCCTGTTGTCGCAAAACCAATCAACCAATCACTCTCAACTCGATCAGTAGCTTTTGTCTCTGACTGCGAGGAAGATCATGCAGTATAACACAACTTTCATTTATGCTCACAATGCCCTATAAGTAGCTTTGGTCTCTTATAGCACTATTGCTCTTCTAAAGCTAGATCTGGTAAACATATACAGCGCTGTCGTGGGTTCATTACTCCTAATATCAGTTTTTAGTTCGTGACGCTAACCTCAGGCAGTATGAACAAACTTAGAAGAAAAGAGATCTAGAACTTGGCTAAGAAAAACATGTAAACTTAATTGAACATGGACTCCCCATTGATGGATCCCTTAAACAAAGATGATGAATGCATAATCGAATAAATTAGAAAGAAACAAGAAAGGTTCAAGAGAAATCTCTATCTCCCTAAACAAAAAATTAAAAACAAAGACTTTGATGACCAAAAAGAATAATAGAACATAAAGCATGCCACATCTAGGGTTCATAAAGACATATATTTTATAGTGCTTCAGGTCTCTTCTGATCGGACAAAGAATTTCCTTGAATGTGAGATCAGATGAAAATCGAACGGGCCTAAAAATGGGCTTTCATGATGTTTTTAGCTAGGCAATGGGTGGGGGTGCTCGAGGACCGGTCAGAGTGGTTTGGGCCCCGAATCGGAGGCTCGTCGGGCTGCTTGATTGGACTTCTTGATCTTGATATAATTTTTGATTGAACCGTTGGATCGTCCTCATATCAAATTAATAGAAATCTAGCTGGTTCCTCTTTATTGTCTTCAAATTTGGGCTGGATCAGACAGTGAAAAACCATCATTTAAAGCTGAATTTTGAAGGTTTGAAGCTGAGCTGAAAATCTGATTTTTCATCAATTTACAAATTTTTTTGTTAGCCTGAAAAGAGTCCTGAAACAATAAATATACCAAAACCGTTATAAAAACACTTAAAACTGAATCAAAAACTTCTAAAAGCATAAGAAAACTTTAGTGAAATTGGTTAAACACATGGTGTTATCAATTGCTCAAGAGAGCAATGAAAATGCAAGTTAAAGAGTCAAAACTATCTAAAACGAATGCAAGAATTGACTAAATAATGTACCTATGAAGGGTGTTGACAAAAAAAAAAAAAGCGAAAGACCCATGGACATAATAACGATAAGTAAAACCATGGGGAGATAATGGCCGACCAATTAGCCTTTTGCTGCAATACGATTATGCAACCTTAAAGGACTACTTGAGCGTTGTATAATGATCTCTTGTCTAATAAGCCATTTACAGATTACACTAAAAAAAAAAAAAAAAAAAAAAAAAAACAGACTTTTTACAACAGACTTATTTGATGTAAAAAAAATTCGGACGATTTCTATAATTTTATTTCGTCGGAAACTAAGTGTTACAGTACAGAAATCGTCGTAAACTCGATGTAAAATTAAGGACAACTGAAATTCGTCGTAATATTGATGGAAATAAATCGTCATAAAATCGATGTAACTTTTACATCGATATTATAACAGTTTTCCGATTTTATAAATACCAAAAATATTAATTTTTTTTATTTTGACGTTAAATCGTCGTAAAATTTCGGTTCATCGTAAATTTTGACAATGTATTATTACATCGAATTTATAACAATTTCTAAAATAAATTATTTTTTAATCTGTACACTACAAAAAAAGAGTGTTTTACATCATTTATTTTTTATATATGCATCAGTTTTAAATGATGTAAAAGAATTTTGCATCATTTAAATAAGTGATTCTGAAAGTGGTGATGCAAATAGTTTGCATCAGTTATATAATTTTTTACATCGATTTTTAGAATCGATGTTACTATGTATCATTTGAAAGAAAATGGTGTTAATACTTACATCATTTAATATAATCGATGCTAATATTTGTTACTGTTATAATAACTGATGTCAAATGATATATCATTTGATAATAAATGATGCTAACAACTGTATCACTTATAACAAATGATGTCAATATTTATATCATTTGTGTGTAATTGATGCTATTATTTGTTATGGTTAACAAAAATAATGTCAAATGATATATCGTTTGTTAATAATTGATACTAACAATTGTATCACTTATAACAAATGATGTCATTATTTATATCATTTGTGTGTAATTGATGTTAAAATTAGTATTAGTTAACAGAAATGATTGTAATAGTTATATCACATATAACAATCGACGCATAAGCATTTTGTGGTTTGCATCATTTTATAGAAAAATGACATTAATTTAATATATTCATAAACGTCATTTTAGGATATTAAAAATAAATTTAAAAATTTTAAAAATATTTACAAATTAATATTAAATTATTCAATCAATTAATTAAAAACTTAAATCTAAATTGCATATTAATATATTAATAACTGAATCACAATGAAAATCTAAATTGCTTATAAATTGCATCATCCAAATGAAAAAAACTGTTTAAAAACATAATTAAACTAATTAAATAAAAAGTTCCAAACTAATGTTGAAGATGCCCACTATAATCTTCAATCACCACCTTTCTAATTTCTGTTGGTATCATCTCCCATTTTCTGATTAAAAATAGACAACAAAATAAGACTAATTAGAATATCATCTGAAATTTAAAACCTATTAAATTTATAAATAGAATTACATTTCACCTGAGAATTGGTAGGATTTGCTAAATTCTTGAGAGTTGGTAGGATTTGCTAAATTCTTGAAAGCAACCATAAAATTTTCAGTCAATGCAATTGATGCCTAAATAAACACTTTAAAATATCAGTTTTCTTTTTTAATTATAGATTATATGAATACAATATAAATTACAAATGATCAACATACATGTTCGCCAGATTGAGCAGCAAGTATCTGTTGAATGAACATACTCATAGATTTATTTATTTCTTCTAGTCCTTTCATATGTGTCTTCATTCAAATATAGGCTTCAGAATTTTCTATCTCTGGTGTTACTAGAGTAGTTTTACCAAATAACTTTGAAGGTGTGGATCCACGTCCGACACAACGTATTCGTCCTGGCTGTTCTGGACCAAACACTTGGGCATATTCATCATCTAAACTAGCTATAACATTGGCTGTGACTTGTCTTGATGGATTTTGAGTTAACAATGTTGTAAGTGCTTCCTAAAAGTGAATTAAAGTATAATATTCAGCATAATCAAAAGAAAATTTATCAAAGTAGAAATGAATCAATTAAGAATTGAACAAACCCCACGTGTTTTAGCTTCCTCTGATACAAAGCTTCCATCAGATTTCGTACGAGTTGCAACGAAGAATTCAGCTCCACTTGGTGTTTTTTCCGTCTTGATTGTCTGGTACATGCAAAAATCATATACATAATTAGATTTAATTCTCATGTATGAGACATACAATATAGTTTTTTTACTTACAATCTCACGTCTTTTCCTTCCAAAACTCTTTCTTCCACACAAATGAGGCATAGTGTTCTCCTTTTGATTCTTTGTATTCCGTTCTTGCATTTTTTAAAAGTTCAAGAATAAAAATTTACATATATTTGATATATTATATAACAGTCTATCTAGTAAATAACCTATACATTCCTCCTTTCAGTGAACCGTAAGCATACAAAATTACGCCATTGACTTTCAGGAACATTATTGGGTCGATTTTGCATCGTTTCAGTCTGATCATCCCGTTTGTAATCTCTCCAAATACGTGCTTTGAAATTGTTGCATCTGCTCCCTAGAACACTCATCACATACTTCCTTCTTGTCGTTGGGTTATCAAACCAAAATTTTGCCTACAAGTTTACAACATCAGTAATGTATCTTTTGAGCCAATAACTCCATGTGCCGAGAATAATTTGCTGTCATAATAAATTATTGATAAAGAAATTAGTATTTCTCGTAACTCAAATAAAACTACACGAATATTTGAGTTATTTTACAAATGTACAAGCAAAACCACATAAAATAGTTAAAAAGAAGCAGTTTAACAATTAATAATGTAGTTTTTCATGATGTATATAGTTGATAATAATATATTCAAAAATAATCAATTATTTTTAAGTTTTACAAAGCATATGTATAATATTTTTATTTTTTTTAACAATAATCCATAAGTACTAAAAACATCCAAAGTAATTCTGTTTTTTATGAGTAAAAATAAAAAAATCCAAATTAATTATGTTTTTAATATCAAAAAATATTAGTTTATATATATACAAATATTTATTGTGTTTTTTTTAAATATTTAAGTGCATCATTTTGTATCATGGAATGTCAATTAATGTACACTTATCGATTGTATTTATTTGAGATAAAACTGTATTCTTGGGTATAGTTTATATATCGCTTATCAGCCTTATTCAGATCAATAATTAAAGTGTTGAAAAATAAATTTATTCTTTTAAAAATAAAAATATTTCTATTTTGTGAGTTAATATCTCCAAGTATCCAAAACGTTTTAACACTATTTGTAAAAATACATGGATATACCTGAATTACATCCCACACCTTATCTTTTGTGTTGTCACCAACCAATCTCCATTCAGTGTAGTCAATAGGTAACAAATTCACATCGTTACTTAATTGACCCAACCATGATCCAAGTAAACCTCCAGAATCTTCAACAGGTTGATCGCTATTTCCATCGAACTGTACTATTACTTTGCAATTTTGCAATTTCCAAACATCTCTAGCTGACACCAGTTTTCCTTCTATGTTCCCAGCCGGATCTTGTTAATAATTATAGACATTATGAGAAGCTTATTAGTCTAAGATAAGTCAAATCAGCATAATATATTTATAGAATCTATTTACATTACCTATGACTTTTACATTCCATTTGAAGCTTTTGCAATTTTGAGCAAGTGTAGGAGGAGAATCATAAGTTATATCATCTGGTGTTTGTGTTTCTGAATCCTGGATATCACTAAAAGACTGGAAATACTCCATAAACCTAAATTAAAAAGTCATATTTAGTTAACAATATATAATATATACAATCAAGAGTGACAACTTAAAGCATACATATTACTCTAACTAGGTGGCTGGCCCTCGTCCTGCGCGGGCTGATGATCTTCCAAAGTTTTTTGAGTTTAAAAATGTAATATTCAAACCACATTTAGAAAAGTTTTTTGCATTTAAAATGTAATATTCAAACCATATTTGGAAGCTTATAAATTTGATTTTTATAATGTTAAATCTATATACTTAAAAAATCATATTATAACAACTGATCATTTACTAATGTTTGAGTTCAAACAAACAGAGCTATTTAAAACGTTGTCATAATTAACACTAAGTCATAATATAAGAAAATCCAAAAGATAAAACAGTTTAATATAAGAAAATTCAAAAGATAAAACAGTTTAAAAATACCAATGACTACCAAAATCTCATAACTAATATCGAATGTAATCTAAAACATACTTTTACTAGCAAACAAAACAACCTATTCAAATCAAACGCGAATTTCTATAAATGTTTTCAAACACGTCTTTGTAAACAACATTCATTATCTTCTTTTGTGCTTTGCCATTCTTATCTGTAATAAGAATCTTCAACCCTTGACGTGTTGTAACCCTAGACACGACGACTTGACCATGAGAGAATACTGGCTTTGGTAAATATAATCCCACCTTTTGTAGAGTCTGACCCTGACTTTTGTTTATAGTCATAGCAAAAGCTATGGTAATGGGAAACTGCCTCCGGCGCATTCTAAAAATAAACCTCGCTTCTAGTGGTGACACAAACATTCTAGGTATGATAACCGTTTTTTCTATTTTCTTCCCGGTGATATGGCTTGCCTCGATTACATGCCTAGCTAACCGAGTAATAAGCAACCTCGTACCATTACACAAACCACCCTTAGGATCAATATTTCTAAGCAACATTATTGGAGCTCCTATCTTTAACTTGAGAGAATGATTTGGCAGCCCCGTTACCTTTATACTATTAAGGTACTCCTGTGTATAGACGACTTCGTCCATTTTGCTTGTGTTTGAAGTATCAATGCTATCGGCACTAAGGTATTCATGTTCCTCACTAATCAAAACATTTCAAACTATTTTAGTACTGATATATTTTATAATATAAATACGTATTAAAAGGAGTTGTGAGAAATCATATAACAAAGACCTGTGAGTTCTGATAGCATGAATTCATTGATAACATCGACATCCTGATTCCGTGGACTGAGTATTGCCCTTTCCTGAAAAAAACTGGATCACGTGTGGTTGTGTAAGATTGACCATAAATCTCCGAGACTATTCTCTTCACAGGATCACCTTCTCCGCTTATCAGAAAATCCGCTGGAATTTCTAATTCATCTTCTATGGTATCATGAATATTTAGTTTTCCATCACCAATATCCAAGATCCACTTGGCAAATTCTTCAATTTCTTGATTAATGAAATCATTATCGCCACGAAGCAGTCTCATATTTGTCTTTAGCTGCAGAACTTTGCAATCAGACCAAATATGAGACGAATTCACAGTTGCCAATATAGTCTCTGAGATGTTGCCTCCGACATCAACGGCAAGTATTTGTCAAAAGTCACCACCCAAAACAACGACCTTTCCACCAAATACCTTATCACACTTTAATATATCTCGCATAGTCCGATCTAGTGTCTCAAAACAATGCTTGCTCATCATCGGAGCCTCATCCCATATAATAAGATCGGCTGCTTCAATCAACTCTGCTTGGTGTGATCCAGAACTCACATTACAGAATCTATACTCGTTCACAACCATGGGTATTCCAAACCGAGAATGCGCTGTTCTTCCTCCCTCTAATAACAATGCTGCAATGCCACTTGATGCAACATTGAGAACTATTTTTCCTTGAGAACGAAGAGCAGCGCCTAAAAGCCTCCATAGGTACGTTTTACCTGTCCCACCGTATCCATAAACAAAAAACATCCCACGGATACCTCTTGTAACTGCATCCATTATATCATTGTAGATATCCTTCTGTTCATTGGTTATTGTTGAAAACAACTTGACATGATCGTTTGCAAGTTTTGCACGATCGTATGATTTCTCGTCCCAGATTAGATGATTTGATTTCTTATACTTTCCAATATCATCAGGGACTGGCATCTCTCCTTTATAGTCGGATAATGAATGACCGTTTCTGCACATATACCTCTCTATTTCCAGCAAACCAAGATTCTTATACTGGGCTTCAGTCAACACCAAACCTAGTAAACCAATAAGTATGTTAGCAACTAAGATAATGTGATTCTTGTAAAATAGTTTATTATTTCGAATCCATCATACCTGGGTCATTCTCTTCACGCCTTTTATGATATAAGAAATCCTCAGTTAATATTTCCCAAGTAGCATTCCAGACGTTGATCGGAACTGCTACACTACTCGAAAGAAGCATTATAGCAAAAAGCTTACGAAGAAACATTCCAGTTCCCCAAAGACTGGCCTCTTTAATTCCTTCGATGTATTCTTTATCGTCGTCTAAAAAACCAAGCGCAAAGCATGCTTCTCGAAAAGAAACTTGCATCTTCAAAAGAAACATGCGTCTTTATCGTCGTATATAACACCATTAACCTTTTTTGAGTAATCGAAACTCTCAGGGCCCTTTACTATATTAAGAAGAATTCTCAAATGATATGCGTCTTCAACTGAAGGTGAGACATACACCAGCCTGCCTATGGCAAAACCTTGTTTTCGTATTTTCCATTTCCGCTGCTTTGAGACCCAAACGAATTTGGTTGGGAAATCAGCATATGTTTGCGTCTTTGCCAAGGCATATTCGTTGTTTGCCTCCATCCACGCTAGAAATTGTGACTGCCCTACCGATGCTTTGTTTAACACTTGGTCAACACTCTCTCCTTCGTGATATATACACATTTGTTTACCAGGCAAATGAAACGAAAGTTGCACTACTGTCGTGGTTCGGTACTGTATAGGAATCTTTAGAAGCCTCCATGAAGATTCATATGGTGAAATGTACCTAAGAATGAGCAAATAAAATAGAAATAAATTTTTTTTTTTAATTACACTTAAGTAATTATTAAAGTGATCAAATCTTAATAATTAGTTTTGGAAAGTTACCTGCAATTGTAATGTTGCTCAACCTCATCTTGGGATATAACGGTTTACCGTCTTCATCCTCGATCGCTGCTATAATGTAATCTGGGCCTTTGTTTATATATTTGAATATGTACTTTATAGACCGGGTTTGATTGCACCACTCAATGTTAACATGTGCCTGAAAACGCTTTAAGAGATTTGGATTATATGGGACAACATGTCGTTTATCACACAAAATACCCCTCTTGAGAATGGTTCTTTGATCTATACGACGCCTATAGATGGGGAAGCCATCATCATCAATTTTAGTAACTGATCCAGTAGGCTTAGGAAAGAATTTTGTACACCTTTTCTCATGCATACAGACATTTTTTGGATTGTCATCACCGCATGGTCCACATATCATCAAGTCTCCAATAATTTCGTACAAAACTGGATCCAAGTCTTTGTCCGGTATCTCCGCTGATATAAATCTATCTATGTCCTCGCCTGTTGGTAGTTTGGATTCGGGTTTCAAAAAAACAACCATGTGGGCATGTGGCAATCCTCTTTTTTGGAATTCAATGGTATACATTGCTGAAATAGAAATAAAACAAATATAAATAAGTTTAAAATATATGTAATAAATTGAATTAGTATCTATACTTAAAGTATAACTTGACACGATTTATATATTATGACTCTTTACTTATATTTAATATTTTTGACATACCTGAATTAACATGGCCAATAACGTGGTCTTTCGTTAGATAATTTACTAAATTATCGAGCTTCATTTTAAAAATCCTGCAACAAATATCTGGTCGATCCTCGATCTTTAGATCATGTTTTTGCAAAAATCTCGTTATCTCAGGCCACTTTGGATTGCAAGTAATTGTTATGAAAAAATCCGGGTATACGTAGTACTTGCATGTTGCCATCGCGTCTAGATCATGTTTCCTCATGAATCTCTTACTTCCAGTGAATGAAGCAGGTATAAGCACCTTTTTTCCTTGACCAGAAAGATCATTATTGCCACGTTCACCAGCTTGTTCAATCTTATCAAAGTTGTCACACCTTAGCTTCGTTTGATTATGCCATATATAACGAAGCCTATTTGATTCTACCATTGTATATGCGTCAACCAGAAACTGTTGATACAATCTCCCAGACATCATAATGATTGGGGATTCTCCATGCCTGTCTTGAATGCGAAATGCGAAAAACTCGCGCATTGTCACGGTTTTCCGTTTTCTTCCAGATGTATCAACAAAGCCAATATCGATACCTAATCTAAAACCATCTTCACCATACGGAAATAATAATGGACTGGAAAGGTAAATAATCCGGATGCAACTCACTTATTCGGTATAAACCTCCAGACTTGCTTTGAATAACGATGTCTCTTTTTTCTGTTAGCATATTGAAATCACCAGGTACCAAAGCCGCCACATCGTCTCAGTAGGTAAGTTATGCGTTCGACCATCTGTAGTTCGGCCACTAGCAAGAACCAACTTAAAACCTTTAGAATTTTGATTCCCCACAAATCGTTCGCGTGCAGTTCTTAAGGCTTTAACATGAGGATTATGATCATCTAACATCTTCTTCAGAAGCTTCACGATATCTCCTCTCAGCTTACACAAATTACCGACATCCCTGAACAATCGTTTTGGATCTATTATTATTTATAAAAATAAAATACTTTTAATGATATAGATAAACAATAACATTATATATAAAAATTGAAGATTACACATAAGCATGCATCCTATTTGTAACTTCGTTGATGGTATCATGGATATATAATTGTAGGAAGTTTGGTTGCTTGCCAGGTGCTGGTAACATATCTCCAATCAAATGATAATTTTCACCACACATTTAGAATAGATACGGACCATTACCGTTGTTTACCATATTGTCAACCTTTCCACCAAGTGACGTAAACGAAAATATCATATTATATGCCCTTATAAATTCACGGAAGTGCTTCCTCGTGTAATTGCGATTATACAATAGCTGTAACAACGTTTTTGGGGGAGCTTTCAATAACGGTAGCTGGACTTTGCCACTTAGACAACACATCGTGAAAACTGGAGTAGAAGATGGAGAGTGCTTGTTTATACGTTCTCCGAACCACATTAAAGCATGACAATAGTCACACATGTAAGATTGATCACCGTCATCATAATAACCTATAATTAATTTTACAATTTTAAAATGTAATAACTTGTATATACTATTAAAAAGGAATTGGTTTCGATTTGTACCACTTTCCATCAAACCGAAACTCGTGTATGAATTAAATTCAGAGTAATTCGGTGGTCTCTGTTTTTTTGGTGGTGGTCGTCGTTTGTTCGAGTTACTTGGCGCAACAGCATTTGAATCTTTGTCATCGTCCGTGTTCGAATCAGTAGCGACAAAACATAAAACATCATCGGCATCAACGGACTCTGGCAATATATCTATAAATTTACACAATCAGATAAAGTTAGTTACATATATTTAATATAAACCAATATAATCTTGTATTAAATTTATATAACCTTTTGCATTGCCTATTGTTCGCAAACCTCGCTTGGATTGAATGATTTCCAATCTATTTTGTCTTGCAATTCTTGCCATACCAACACGTCCGATAGATTCTATATCAATGTATTGATGATAAACCGACTTTGGCAATGTTGGTGCATACACTTCAGCCCTTGCTGTATTAACGATAAAAAAATTCAGTGGGATTGCAAAAGTAACAACACATGCATTTTTTTTAAGAAACAGAAAGACTTACGACGATTTGAAACATGGATCTTAACGACCCTAGGTTTTGTTATTCTCGTTTTCTTCGGCGCCATAGTTTCTGATTAGTTTTTTTTTTGTTTTTACGATATTATAATACGTGCATGAGAAACACTGTTTTAACATATGTAGGTTTTCCTATAATTTTTAGGGTTTTCCTTTATTTTTGTGAGAAACCCTAATGTAACATTTGTCTTTGTATTTTTTTTCTTTTGATTTTATGTTTATTAAATATTTAATATTAATACAAGAATTGGTATTTTAATAATTTAACGATTTCATGGGTTAATTAATGAACCTATCAGAATATTAGAATGTTAAAATCGCATATATGTACAAATTGAAATACTCCACAATAAAGTAATGTGTGTTACTACGTAATTTATACAGAGAATTAGATACTTGTTTTAAATGTATTGTTCTTTAAATCAATAATGTATTCAAATAAAACAAACCATAACTTAAATCTCCATGAATATCAGTACTAAAGTATATCAGAAAAAAATAAAAAAAAAACAAAAAAAAAACATCGAGAAATCTAAGAATATCAGTTAGAAGAATCCAAAATTTATGTGTTTATTCATTGTCTTCTTCCTCTCTTCTTGCTATTATATCTTTCGTCAACATTAGGCGTTTGGATGGCCAATTCAGAAGCTCGTTTTGATACAGGCGATGGTGTCAATGGTGCAACTCTACCTGAGTATCTAAGTTCTAAATCATGGTCGACTGATCGAATTCCATGATTTTCAAACTTATTTAACATATCTGCATCATCGACAACTATCTCAACTTTATAAGTTTGACGCCTGTTTGACAGATTCTCTGTTATTATTCCGATTTTAAAAAGGAGTTTCTTCCCAACCAAAGCAGTAAGAGCTCGTGGAAACACCAAAGTTTCGTCCTAATTCCAAAATATAGAAAGACATTAGATATAAATAACATAATATTCTTTGATCATGTACACTATGTATTATAAAATGATATACCTCGGCAACCTCTTCAGCTAAAGTATCGGCCTGAACTCGGAGGAATGCGCTTGCAATTTTATCAAACAGCAAAAATTTTATCTCCTCGCCAGTCTCGTCAGAAACAACCAACACTAACTTATACCTATAAAAATATGAATATTTATAAAGTCAATAACAAATCTTTTTCAAATAACTACTTTTAAGTGATGAAACATTTACCTGGCTACGACATCTGAGACAGCCTCGCCACATTCTCTACAATCAAATAGCAAGGAATCGTCATCGGTAGAACTTGATTCTATTGGATGAACTGTTTTATTGCAAACTCTACATGCAATATAATACCATATAGGATTATATTCAACTCGAACGACTGTCGCAGTAGTAACACATTTCATTTCCTACAATCGAAAAGAATATAGTTTAAATATTGAAAAACAGATCATTCTGAAATATATAAAACATATATATGCGATGTATATATTTAAAATATAATCGAAGAAAACCTACTGTATCAGCATAAACAATACCTTGAATTGTCTTTCTTTCATTTCTATCAAAGAATTCATCTCTCCATGAAATAGACCTAGTGGATGATGATGGCACTTTATGTTCATTGGATATTACAAATGTATTCATTGGCAACCTAACAGAAGATATTTCCGTTCAATATTTATGGTACCTCTAAAAGTATACACAAACAAACAGATATCATTACTCACAAGGATCGAAAATCTTCAACTTGTTTAGAATCTTCAAACAGAGGAATATCTGCGTTGCGTTGAAAGAGTTCGAAATACTGTAAACTCCTACACGAATTTAGAAATAAAGTTATTAGAGACTCATAAAAATCATATATGATAAACTTATTTATTTCACAACTATTATCAATACAATTAAGGTCAAATATACCTTTCCATTCTGAGACTGAAGCAAATCTAACAACATACACAATCACTGACGTACTATTTTTCGTCACATAGTCGATTACTTGCTTTTCAAAATTTCCCCACAGTGTGCAAGTCAAACGACTATCACTATATGTCATCAACAAACTAAATAAATTATATATAATTTTAATAAATATTATATCGTACATTATATTATTATGAACTCACCTTGCATTACGAAGAACAACGTCCAATTTTCTTGTTGGTTTTCCTTGAGCGATAACATCAGAAGTTCTAGCCAAACAATCTGGCCTATGACATCTACATTAATATTTATAAAGAATTAGTATATATACGATATATTATACCATAATATAAATCGATAAATATAGTAAACAAAATATAATTAGCAGACCTATTAAAACACTGTTGTCATAATCCCTGTTACTTATGGTTGAAAATTCCTTAAAATATTTATAAGGAAGTTCCAAAGGAAAGTTATCACAAGGTGCTATAATAGTAGTCCTGTAGAAACTTATTTTGAAGGATAGAGGACTTGTCCTATATGCAGTAGTGTAATCTTTGAATGTGAAGTTGCTTAGGAATAGTGCACGATCTTCCGTCAATTCTGGATTGAATTGCTCCACTAAATCTCCATCAACAGTTGCATGAATTCTACAACCCTGATATAGTCCATAACATAATTAATATTTAAGTTATTCGAATCATAACTTTACTAAATCATGCATGTACATGTATATAGATATAAAACATTAACATTGCGTACCACTTCATCTGCTAATACCATCTCTATAGATGTAACCTTGCTTTTACGATGTAATTTCTAGAGATTGATGATATGAACCTTTATCTTGTAACGATCACTTGTTCGATCAATTTCATCTATCAGAGCAGCCACGATAGTTTTCCGCTTGAGATAAGACTTCACCACTTTCTTAGTGTCAAAACTATTGTCTATCGACGACTTCATCTTCTTCTTTTTTTTTGAAAATTTTTGAACAGACTTTATGAGGAAGATTAATCGGCCATACCTATATATATATATATATATATATATATGAGTTGGTAAAAACCCTAGGTCTTTAGGATCGATGCAAATCAAAAGAGTATCGTATCTTTTATTGATTTGTATATATCGAGTTAAATGTTAAAAATGAACATAATTTAAATGTAGTTTTTACTTATTTCATTTCTCATATAAGTATAATTGTTATTTCTTACCAAATATCAGTTGCGTAAAGTTATGTCTTTGGTCATTTTAACAAATTAACATAAAATAAACATAATAAGAATGATGAAATTAGCACTTTTTGTACATATTCTTTTTTTTTTATAATATCCTTTTTCAGTTTTTAAAATTTTGTTTAGAAATATATATATATATATATATATATATATATATATGATTTTTTAAAAAATTTTGTTTAGAAATATAAATTTTGTTTATATTTTTCTAAATCCAATAAAATAATCATAATTTCCATAATTTATATGTAGATACCTTTTTATATCTCGTATGATATATATATATATATATTTTTTTTTTTTTTTGCAACTACTACG